AAAAAAAAAAGTCAAGGACTGTGGAAGCAAATCGAGAAATAGCGTATACAATAGGGATGCATAATGCAAAGAGATCAGGAATCCCACATGTAACTTCTTGTATTAATATTGGCTTTTTACAGTTAATTTCTCAAGTATTTGGTCATCATATTGAGAGTCGGCATTATATCAGACAGGAAAATGAACAATGAAGAAAAACGATTTAACCGAGAAGAAGAGGATGAGGATGAGGAAAGTGGGAGAGGTCGAGAAGCGTGGGAAAGAACTTATGCAGATGAACGATCATGGGAGTCTTTGCAAGAGGATGAATCTGGACTCCTTCGTCCAATTGACAACAAAACTCTATCCCATGCTCAGTATCGCCGACGTCTCCGCACTGCAACCGCTGCCCGAGTTCAGAAGGGCCTGATTCGCTACCTTTACATTATCATTGATTTCTCCAGGGTATGTGTAATCCTTTATGATTGTACAAAAAGTGCATTGCTATAGTTGGTTACTAACATTTGATGGTTTAGTTTTTGATTTAGAGTTATGCAAAAATTATGTAAGCATCTATACTTCATCTGTTTGTAAAGGAGTTATCTCAAGATAAAGTTTATTGGATCCAGACGTCCAGTGTACCGGACAATCTGGCGATCCCCTTTTTGATGCTAGCAAATGCTTATTTATAAGGAATACAGTTTGATTCTTCTTAAGAACTCTAGGGCTGAAGTTTTAGTGATTGCAACTTGTTTATATTATGCTATGAGATATTAAGAAAGCTAAGTATTTTTCTGTTTCTAGTAATGGTTTTAAGAAACCAATATTTTGAACAATTTTGTCAGAAAATTACGCTGCTGTATGGCATGCAATTGGGTGCTCGTCTTTGATCAGTAAACTTAATTGATATTCTAGTGATTACCCACTTTCAGTTTTGATGTCACCATGTACCCCTGAACAGCACATTGCATTGATTCCTTTGGACCAATTTTTGAAATTCTGAGAGAATTGTGAACTGAGTCCGCCTATGACAGCTGTTGCCTTTAAAAATGCCCCTTTAGTAGAATTGCGTTTATCAGTGCACTGCATGCTTTCTTTTAAAATTGAAAAGGTGCGATAAACAATCATAAACATTTACACGTAAAGATCATGCTGACAATTCTCCACCTTTCAAGATGTCAGCATCCAGCTTTTTGACATTTTCCCTAGGTTTCTTTGTCCACGTTGCTTGAAAGTGTTTCTGAGAATTGATTGCATCTATTTGATACTTATCCTACATGATAATAGCTCCGCAACACCCAAGCAAACTTGGAAAGCTCGAACAAAAATTGAAATGCTTTGAGTACTAGAAAGCTGGAATTATTAAAAGAGAAACTTTAAAGTACTCATTTCAATTAAGCCTGGACAATTTTGAAAGCTACAGTAACGGCCATGATTTCTTGAACCTTATAAAACTTTTGAGTTATTATTGCTTGCATTTTGAATTTTAGGCAGCTGCAGAAATGGATTATAAACCAAGCCGAATGGTTGTAGTTGCTAAGCAAGTGGAGGCGTTTGTAAGAGAATTTTTTGATCAGAATCCCCTCAGTCAGATTGGCTTGGTGATCTTGAAAGATGGAGTAGCTCAGTGTTTAACAGATCTTGGTGGCAGTCCGGAGGCTCATATCAAAGCATTGATGGGTAAATTGGGGACGTCAGGTGATGCATCCCTTCAAAATGGCCTAGATCTTGTGTGTGACCTCCTAAATCAGATCCCATCATATGGTCATCGTGAAGTCCTTATCTTGTATTCTGCTCTTAGCACATGTGATCCGGGGGATATACTCGAAACCATCCAGAAATGTAAAGCGTCTAAGATAAGGTGCTCAGTAATTGGTCTCTCTGCCGAACTCTATATATGCAAGCATCTCTGCCAAGAGACTGGTGGAATGTATTTTGTTGCGTTGATGAGGTGAGAATGAATTATTGAGGTCTGAAGTAATGGTAACATGAAAACCTGTGAGATAACAAAGAAATATTTTGTATGAAATTTAGGAGACATCTGTTTCTAACTGCCTACTATGTAAAACTGTCTCATGAATAATGATTAGAACAACACACATGCTTCTCGATTTCTTGAACAATATTGTTAAACTTTTTTTTGATTCGATTGATGGTTATTGCCCTGTCAGCCTCATTTAAAAGAGTTGGTATTAGAGCATGCCCCACCTCCTCCAGCAATTGCAGAGTTTGCTGTTGCAAATTTGATCAAGATGGGATTCCCCCAAAGAGCAGCAGAGGGTGTTATTTCAATTTGTTCATGTCATAAAGAGGCTAAGGTTGGTGGTGGATACACTTGTCCGAGATGCAAAGCACGCGTATGTGAGCTGCCTACTGAATGTTGTATCTGTGGACTGACCCTTGTGTCTTCTCCACATTTGGCAAGGTCATATCACCACCTGTTCCCAATAAGGCCATTTGATGATGTTTCACCTTCACTTCTGAAAGATATTCACAAGTTACCAAAGAATTGCTTTGGTTGCCAGCAAAGTCTCCTAAATCCTGGTAAGAGCAGTCTTCAAGCTTATTTTCAAACTTGGAACTGTCAAGTGGTATAAGAGTCATGTCAAAGCGAGGAACATCCGTCTTTTCTGTTTTCTCTGAAGATTGTATTGTAAGTAACCAATAAAAGCCAATCTGAAAATGAAGCACCCAGTCACATAGGATATCTATAAAAACATTTGCTTTTTTTTTTGTCTG